AGTACATAGTGCTTGTGGCTCAGTGGATTGAGTCCTTGCAGCTCAGTCGTAGAGTGCTTGTGGCTCAGTGGGTAGAGTGCTTGTGGCTCAGTGGATAGAGTGATTGTGGCTCAGTGGGTAGAGTGCTTGTGGCTCCGTGGATAGAGTGCTTGTGGCTTAGTGAATAGAGTGCTTGTGGCTCAGTGGGGAGAGTGCCTGTAGCTCAGTACATAGTACTTGTGGCTCAGTGAGGAGCATGCTAGTAGCTCAATGGATAGAGTGTTCGTAGCTCAGTGGATAGAGTGCTCGTGGCTCAGTGGGTAGAGTGCTTGTGGATCAGTGGGTAGAGTGCTTGTGGTTTAGTGGGCAGAGTGCTTGTGGCTCAGAGGGTAGAGTGCTTGTAGCTCAGTGGGCAGAGTGCTTGTAGCCCACTGGGCAGAGTGCCTGCAGCTCAGTGGGTAGAGTGCTTGTGGCTCAGTGGATAGAGTGCTGGTAGCTCAGTGGGAGATGGGTAATCGATCGATGAGAGATACATAGACATACATGATGATGACTGTGTTTGATGATGTCATGACAATGATGATGATGATGGCAATTATGATGTCATGACAACGGCAATGATGGTGATGTGGTGACGGTGATGGTGATGTCATGACGATGGTGCTGGGGATGATGTTGGTGATGCTGTCATGATGATGTCATCATGATGATGGCGGCGATGAACACGACGAGGACGATGATGCCAGAGCGATAGACCAGGGCTGTAGAGGAAGTGGGCGTGTCACGGGGGCGGGGCCTGTGGTGAGCGGCTGGTAGTCGCAGGGGGGCGGGGCGCCAGGCTCCGCATATCACGAGCTGTCAGTCATGCTGGGGGCGGGCTTTGTTGATGCAACCTGTTTGTGCCTTTGGCTCCTGTCCATCACCGCACCCGGGCTCCTGTCAATCACAGGCTCCTGTCCATCACCGCACCCGGGCTCCTGTCAATCACAGGCTCCTGTCAATCACAGGCTCCTGTCCGTCACCCTCACCGGGGCTCCTCTCAGTCACAGGCTCCTGTCCATCACCCTCAGTGGTGCTCCTGAAAGTGGCCCTACTAAACTCAGGCGCTCACACGTCGGGACCGTGAGGCTGTGCGGTGTAGACGAGGCCGCGGGTCTCGGCCCGGTTGTCTTTTCCGCCGGGTTTTGGGGGACAGGCCCCCGTTTCTGTCCTCGCCAGCGCTCAGGGCTGACCGTGCATGTTAATCCAGCACCTCCGTCCTGGGATTCACACGTACAGTCACACGTCTGCTCTAATTTTGTGGCTGGGAAGACTTAAAATACTCGGATGGTCTCGGCTCCGCGACTGTGCGCCCAGCACCGCCTGATATGACGTCATCACGTAGCCCAGGTTGACCCTCAGCCCCTCATCCTCCTGATCCCACCTCCCAAGTGCTGGCATCGCATGGAGCCCTGCCATGCCCCAGGAATGCAGTACTGAGGACCACATTAGGTCCTCTCGCATGCTCAGTGAGCACTCTACCCGGAAAGTCTATTGGGAATATTAGTTGGGGTGTGCGGAGGACTGTGAGGCAGGCTCATAAGCACTGGGATCCTGCTTTTCAGAGTGATGACTTAGTACCCAGCAGTCAGTTCCTGTGAGAAGGCCATGCTTTCAGGAGGGTGGGCTGATTGCTGGGTGCTTAGTTCTGCACTTGTGTTTCGTGTGTGTTCACCTACGTTCTTCCTTCAGAACACTGAGAGGAACCGAGTCCTAGTACCACACCCTACCACTTCCAGGATATGAACTCAGCACATGTCTGTTTTGAATAAAGTACCGAGCCTCGGAGTACTGTTAGAGAGACAGCATATGGGACACCGACGTCATCGCTGCTGCGAACCAAATGACTATCGTGGTTATGACGTCAACGAGACGTCACCTGAGTTCCCAGTTCGGGGCTATAGGAGGTGGGGGGAGCTTGAAAAGGTGGGAAAAGTGACGTCATCGGGGCTTGGCCTGTAAGGGACCCTGGGACCCGGCCTCTGTCTCTACTTCCGCTTTTCCATGACGTCTACAGTTCTGCCCCATCCCATGCTCCCGTGATGCTCTGCTGGAGGGTGAAGTGGCGTCATGGGGGCGTGTCCTTAAAGGGGACACTGGGACCCCAGTGTCCTCTCTACTTCCTGCGCATCATGACAAGAGCTCTGCCCCACCCTGCGGTCCCATGATGCTCTGCATCAGCTCAGGAGCCCCGTGAGCGTGGGCTAGCCTTCCTGGAACCCTGCCCAGCACCCACTTCCTTTCTTCTCTCGAGTGCTTTGTCAACAGTACTGGCAGACTAAGTACCTACCCCGTCTCGGGGTGTGTGACTTCTTCGCCCCCCCTACTCCTTACCCCTCTCCCCACCTTCCCCCACACACCCGGGTTCCGCCTGCACCAGGACCCGAGAGCGGTTTCAAAAATATTTTATTTTCTGGGCTTGGCATATAATGTCTGAGCTCGGTCCTCCCTCGCGGCTCACGAGGACACGGAAGCGATGACGTCACAACACGGCGCAACGACGACACGGACGAGGCCTCTAAGAAACTGGTAGAAAATGCTCACGGGGGCCACGAAGGGGGTGGGGACATCCTCCTGAAACTCACGCCTGGGCGGCCTGACGGGGATGAGGGGGGCAGCAATCCGCCTGATGACGCAGCAATCGCCTGATGACGCAGCACGCCCCCCTGCGCGGCCCTCCTGCTGGGACTTTCGGGCCCGCGCTCGGCTCGCTTTTGCGCACGGCCCCTGGGGTGGGAAGGGCGTCTCAGGGATGTGAGCTCCGCTGTGCACACGGCCCGAAGCCGGGAAGCGCTGCGTAGACTTGGCGGTCGATCGCAGAGCGCAGAGCGCGGGGCACAAGGGTGTCAGTGGGTCGGGAGGCAGCGGCACCGGCTGGGCGGATGACGTCAACATCGCCGGGAAGATGACGTCACCACAGGGGCGGCCGAAGGCATCGACAGGACGGAACACATCACCGCCGGGAAGGATGACATCACGGGGACGATGACGTCACGGAGGCTGAGCTGACGCGGGACGGCTGATGACAAACAAAGAAATCGGTAAGTGTTGACAGGAAGAACCGGGCCTGTGGGCGGGGAACGGGGTGACCCGGATCGCCATGGCCCCCGGAAATGACGTAGGCCGCCAGTCCTGACGTCCTGAGGATGACTTAAGATGAGTGACAGGTGGGGGGAGGGGCTGAATGGGGATTGAGCGGTCCCCGGAAATGACGCTGTGCACCAGTCCTGACGTCCTGAGGAAGGTTTAAGATGAATGACAGGTGGGGGAGGGGCTTAGTGTTGATTGACGAGTCCCGGAAATGGCGCTGCCCACAGTCGTGACGGCTTAGGATGAGTGACAGGTGGGGGAGGGTCTTAATGCGGATTGACAGGCTCCGGGAAATGACGCCGCCCAGCAGTCAGGAAGTCCTGTGGATGGCTAGTTAAGATGAGTGACAGGTGGTGGGAGGGGCTTAATCCTGATTGACTGGTCCGGGAAATGACGCTGCCCACCAGTGCTGATGTCCTGCAGATGGCTTAACATGAGTGACAGGTGGGGGGAGGGGCTTAATCCTGATTGACAGATCCTGGAAGTGATGCTGCCCACAGTCCCGATGTCCCACGGATGGCTTCTTATGATGAGTGACAGGTGGGGGGAGGGGCTTAATCCTGATGGACAGCCGCGCCCGACACGCCCACCGCACAGCGCGGGTGTTGGTCTCTCCGGCACGTGGTCTTCCCGGAAGTGAGGCGCCCATGATGAACCCGGTGCCTGAGCTCCCGAGGCGACGTTCCCGGCATCCTCTGTGTCGGACTCGCCTGTCAGGCAGAGAACAACCCAGTTAGCCAGCGCAGCACCCGCGACTCCGGCAGGAGCTGGACTTTCCCGAGTCTGAGCACGGCAGTGTGGGTGCTGAGACCCGAACTTGGTTCCTCTGAGGGAGCAGCCGGTGCTCTGGACCGCAGGCCCCAAGCTCTACTTGGGACAGGGTCAGGGTAGCGCGGGCTGGCCGTGGAGGGCGGGGAAAGTGCTCCTGAAAGCGCTTCGCCCGGCGCCCAGGGACTGCTTATAGCACAAAGTAAAGCACCTGAGCACGGGACACTAAGTGAAGCACCCGGGCAAAGAGGACTAAGTACAGCACCTGAGCACAGACGACTAAGTGAAGCAGCTGAGCACAGAGGACTAAGTGAAGAACCTTAGCGTGGAGGACTTACTAAAACACCTGAGCATGGAGGACTAAGTCAAGCACCTGAGGACAAGGAGACCTGGGCTGTGTGCAAAAATGGGAAGACAGCAAAGAAAAATCATAACAAGCTGCAGAGTGAACGTCAGATTTCCCTCCTTCATTTCCCTCCTTCCTCCCCACTTCCTCCTCCCCCCACTTCCTTCTCCCCCACTTCCTCCTCCCCCCACTTCCTGTTCCCCCCAGCTTCTCCCCCCACTTCCTTCCTGGGTGAGTGAAGCCGTGACGTGTGTCCTGTGCCCCGGAGTGAACACGGCCCGCTTCCAACGCCGGCTGCCCCGAGGAAGTCTCATGTAGATAGTGTGATGCCCCGTGCGTCCCCTGCGGTCATGTGTGACGGTGACGTGTTGGCGTGTGCGGCACCCTGGGCCCTGAGTTTCCTCCTGGTCCGCATGTTGAGCTCCAGCTGAGCACAGCTGTCAACGTATCGCCTATCGATCACCTATCGATCGGTCCATCTCTTCACGATCTGCGCATCTATTGATCATCCTTCATGTGTCATCTATTAATCATCTATCGATCGTCTATTGATCATCTATGTATTGATCCGTCTATCCGTTATCTGCATATTATTGGTCATCGATCATCTATCGATCACCTGTGAGCTATCCATCCATCATCGATCTGTCCACCCACTCTTTCATCCACCCATATGCACCTATCAGTCCATCTGTGCATCTATCAATCATGTCTCTCATATACGCATGTATCGATCATCTATCAGCCATACGACTGTCTATACATCTATGAATCTATCATCAATCAAGTTCTATGTATCTATTATCATCAAACAATTTCTCTGTATTATCAAAGAATTTCTGTGTATCAATCGTCAATAAACAAATTTCTACCTATCATCAATCAATTTTTATCTATCAGTTTCTATGTATCTGTCATCAATCAATCAATCCTATCAATGTATCTATTGATCCATCCATCCATCATCTATCAATCATCCACTCGTCATCTATGTATTATCATCCATCTATCCATCTGTCGATCCACCTGTCAATCATCCATC